ATGACCAAAATCTTTATCTTTGATGGCAAATTCAAGCCAGTGCTAAGTTTTCCAGTTCGCGAAACGAAGGGAGCCGAAGTGAAGTGTGTAGCCGTCGGGATGGATGATGACGTCATCGTGGGGACGACAGATGAGTTGCTTCTGTATGATTCGGCTGGAAGGATGTTGAGGAAGTTGAATGTGTCACCACCTGGGACACCAATGCCCAAGCATGGGTAAGTTTTTAGCAATGGAGCGAATTCGCTTTATTCATGTAATTGCGCTCGGATGATGATTAAGCTAATTACGGCATTGCTCTGATCGAATTTCGATGCCGAAAATTCAAGAGTCGGCGGAGCTTCGGTACTGTAGCGAAATCCTCAAAGGCGCATTTAAAGGAACATGTATTATCGTGAATGTTTTCTGGTCTATTTTTTTGTTTTTTTTTTGATAAATTCTATCAATTTCGAGCTGTTTTTTTACACAGAAACTCAAAAATTCCAAAAATTGCCTAAAAACTAAAATACCGTAAAATCTGTATTGATATTGCGCCTCTATTTGAATTGCCCCTCTAATAGACTTGCACCCCTTGAGGGCACTTGAAAAATAGACTTGCAGCCTTTAATTGAATTGCCCCCGTAATACAATTGCATCTCCAGCAGAATTGCGGCTCCGCCGGGAGTACTGTGCAATTTTTAGTCTGGGACACCGTGACGAACAATTGCACAGTTGTTTTTCGAATTTCTTTTTTTTTAAACTACCTACTTAATTTCTGATTTATTTTTATTTTTCTTTGTTTTTTTAACAATATTTTCCATTTATTGAAGCGAGCAACACGAGCAATGAGTTCTGAAGAAGTCCTCGAAGACGTGGAAAACGTAGAAGACGTGGAAGACGTGGAAAACGTGGAAGACGTGGAAGACGTGGAAAACGTGGAAGACGTGGAAAACGTGGAAGACGTGGAAGACGTTGAAAAAGTTGGTGGAAACTCTAGAAAGAGAAAGCGTGGAGCCCACCCCTTGGATTACAAGCTTACGGTGGTGAAATGGGCAGAATCAAAAAATAACACGGAAGCAGCTAAGAAATTTGGAGTTTCAAGACAAAATGTGCAACAATGGAGAGCTCAGAAAGAAAAAATAATAGCAACAATCGCTGAAAATGGAAAAAAGAAAAAACGGCTTGATGGCGCAGGGCGTAAAGTGAATGATAAAGATTTTGATACTAAACTTGCGGAATGGGTCCGAGAGCAAAGAGAAAAAAAGCTTCGTATTACTCGTATTGGAATCCAGAATCGCGCCAAGTCTATTTCAAATAGTGATATGAAGGTTTGAAAACAGATTACCTACTTGAGATTAAACATTAAATGTTGCAGTTCTCGAATGGATGGCTGGTTTCTTTTTTGAAGCGGCATGGATTTTCGAGTAGACGTGCTACAACAGTCTGTCAAAAACCGCCAGAGTTTTATGTGGAGAAAATTATTGACTTTCTCCTTTATGTGGAACGATTAATTGCCATGAATAATTATGACAAAATTTTCGCATGTGATGAGACGGCGGTTTATCTGGATTGTTCGAATAGTTTGACTGTAGCGGATCGAGGATCTAAACAAGTCAGCACACTCAAAAATAACAAGCTAAACGTTTCAATTTCAGGTTTCAGTGAAAACCACGGGACACGAGAAATTGCATGTTACAGTAATGCTGTGCGCTCGATCAGACGGTTTTAAGTGCAAACCTTTTGTACTTTTTCCAAGAAAAAGACCAGTGCAAAGTATTGAGGAAACATTTAGAAAAACTTTGCAGTTGGTTTGGTGTGACAGAACATTTTTCAACGATGAAATCACAAAAACTTTTCTTGAAAAAGTTCTCGGTCACTCAATGTTCGGAAAAAGGTTGTTAGTATGGGACTCTTACCGTTGCCACATCAGTACAGACACTAAAAAAGTATTGAAACAACTGAGACTAGACACTGCGGTGATTCCTGGAGGATGCACAAAATTCTTACAAGTGAGTAGATTTTATTGAAACTTTGCGTGACCCGATTTTTCAGGCTCCAGATGTATATTGGAACGCAATGTTTAAATCTTTCATCAGAAAAGAGTACGAAGATTGGATGGTTCATGGAACGAAATCGTTCACCCCGGCGGGAAATATGCGTGCTCCCAGTATGGAAGTTTATTTGAAATGGATTCAATTGGCGTGGGAAAATATCCCGAAGGAATACATTGTAAGATCATTCAAAGGATGCGGATTAAAAAATGGAAGAAATGGCGAAGATGATGAGGCAATTCATTGTTTCAAGAAAGATGGAGAAATTCCAGAAGGCGTACAGTTATTGAAGACAAGACGAGCAGAACGAGAAATGGAAGAAATTCAGGAGATTTTGGGAGATATTGAAATTGAGGAAGACGATGGAGAAATGAACCATGCCGAGGAAGAAGACAATAACTATGACAGTGACGCCTCAATTTTTTGAATATTTTCCTTTTGTTGTGTTCAATTTGTTACTTTTTTGTTGATTTTCATAATAAAACTTTTTTTTTCAAAATTTTCGTAGTTTGAAAAATAGAATTGCAGCCTCTATTTGAATTGCCCCTCTAATAGAGTTGCACCCCTTGAGGTGACTTGAACAATAGACTTGCATGCAATATCAATACAGATTTTACGGTAAATTTTAAAATAAACTTCATAGATTTTGAGTTTTTTGTTTAAAAATCCCAAAAATTCCGAAAAAAAATAGCATGAAAAAAATTGAAATTGTTTAAAAATCGAAAAAATAGGCTAGAAAATGATTACCAAAATGCATGCTCTTTTAAATGCGCCTTTAAGGGTTTCGCTACCGGACCTACGCTCCGCCCACCCTCGAATTTTCGAACATTGAAATTATACCACAGTATTAGTGTGCATGCTCAAGAAATCAACAGAAATTTACAGCAGAAAATATTTTGAGCAAAGTCACAGCGATTTTTAAAAACTGTCAGTAAAGCAAACGCGCTCCAATGTGAATTTAAATTTCCTTTTATTTTTCCAGCGGCCGCTTCAACGTAACCACAGTAACCTGCGACGTCTCTACCGGCCAAATCGTTGTCATCTTCACTGACAAGATCATGGATCGCACAACTATCGGCGTAGTCAGCTACAAGGGCGACTTCCTGTACTCTATTGAGCCAGGAGCCCAGGAGAAGTTCCAGGCGCCATGTGGCATTTTTGTGCACAAGAACAAGGCGTTTGTGACGGATTTCGAGAGCAATACAGTGAGAAGCTACAAGTACAAGTGAATGATGGATAATATTAATGAATCGGGTCTCTCTCCTAATAATGTACCTCCTATTTTTTCTGTGTTGTGATGAAAAATGGAATAAAATTGTCTGAATAAATAAATGATACATTGAACATAAATTATGCAATAGAGATAAAAGAGATAAAACACAACCGTATAAATGAGAAATTTAAGAAATTATGCAACGGGTTGATGGTCAGTAAGGGCATTTACAGCTCTCCTGTGGCACGGGCTTTGTAGTGGTTGAAGATGCGGCTAGCCGTCTGACTGGCCATATTCCAGTAGTTTTGAACTTGAGACATGTAGAACTTGACGACTGAGAGCGGCTCGCCCAACGAGATTCCAGAGGTGCAGTGGACGGTGGAGGAGAATGGGAGGAAGCCGCGGCCATAACACGCCACAAAAGTGTCCTTCTCGAAGTTGTACACATAGGACTCGAACTGTCCGTGTCTGAAGGCCATTCCACTGGAGAAAGCTTCCGATGTGTCGTCCTGTGTGCCATCGTTGAATCTGGAGACCTTTCCTTTGAGTACTGTGCACGTGGTGTTGGCCCAGTGGAATCCAGCGCGACCGGATGTTGGGAATGGGGTGGAGAAGGCAGCGGCGAACTCGGTGAAAGCGGTGATAATTGGATAGATCTGGAAATTTCGGAATTTAGGTCAAAGCCAAGGATTTTGTCAAAAACTCACCCTCAAACTGAGCCCTCCGAGTTGCATAGCATGCCACTCGATATGACGTGGCATTATTGGGTCATAGTAGCTGCGCATTCCAGATGTCAATGTGGAAATTGACTGTGAAGCCGTTGGAGCGCTCGCCGCCTTCGCTGCGATTCCCTTGAACTGCTTGGGCGAGATATCGTAGTGTTTCCAGCGAAGACCGTACTGGATGGCTTGGAAGGCGGCGTAGAAGAGCAGCAGGTACCGAAGCTTCGAGGAAATCAGCGTCATAGTGCGTGTTGAACTATCCTGGAAACATCTAGGTCTCGAGGTGGAAAACGTGGCTAGTGATGTGTGAGTGCGAAGAGAGACAACAGTTCAGACTGCCTGACATAGCAAGTTCAAAAGTGAGTGAGATATTTTTCAAACTTCTCTGTAAGATTCTTCGAAATTTTGCGGCTTTTCCCCCACTTGAAAATCAGCTTTTCCCGGCGAAAATCGCACAAAAAATGACAAAATCTCAAATATGTGTGAACACCTCTACGCGCAGTTGCGTACAAAGCATGAAACCTTACGAGCGATTTAGTTGCGGCGCGTGCGTTCTTCGCGCTTCGAGAAGGTGCGAGAAAACCGTGGGCGGAGTTTGTTTCCTTGTACCTTTTTGGTTTTTTGGGTTGCTAAGAACTAAAAATCATCATTTTTGTCTTAAATTCTCTTTTTTCGAATTCCTAGAAACAACGAAAATCGACCGAATCGGGGAGATACGTATTTTCTATCAATTCCGTTCTCCCCGTTTCCGTAAATATCTCTCGCTTTCATTTTTCTCCACAGAATTTCGAATTTTCTTCTTCATCTAAATATTATACCATCGAAATCGCATCGTCAGTTTTAAAAATTTTCGAGAATGTTTCGCTTTTCCTTTAATTGAAATCATGTTGTCCTTTACATAATCCCGATGGATTATCTTGTTGCTCTGAGCAACGGATGCGCTTTATCCTCTTCCGCTACGCTATCTGCTTCCTCTGCTCTTCGATTTCCCGCTTCTCCTCCTCATTTCACATATTTTAAACATTTCAGAAAATGCCGATCGATTACTCCAAATGGAAGGACATTGAAGTCTCCGATGACGAGGATGACACTCACCCAAACATTGACACACCATCGCTCCACAGATGGCGTCATCAGGCTCGTCTCGAACGAATGGCCGAGCAGAAGATGGCCAAGGAGCAATTGGAGAAGGATAAATCGACAACTAGCAAGAAAATGGAGGTGAGAAACTTGATTTTTGCGAGAAAACCTTGTCCTCAATAAATTTATAATTTTCAGGATCTCGAGAAGAAGTTGGCTGAAGCCACCACCGACTGCAAGTCCGACATCCAAAAACAAATTGACGACGTGAAGCGACAGGAAGAAGAGTGGCGTAAGAAGGAGGCAGAGCTTGAGGAGAAGGAGCGTTTGGCGCCATGGAACGTTGATACCATCGGACACGAAGCGTTCAGCACCTCTCGTATCAACAAGATTACTGATAAGAAGCCGGTACCAAAGAAGACCGATGAGGAGGATTCCAAGGATATGGGCACGTTCTTCCAGGAAAACGAGAGTCTTTTGGAGAGACTCGGAAGCTTGAAAGGAGGATGCAAGGCTACTGAGATCTTCCTTGCTGAGCACCCACACATGGCTTCGGATTACAGTGCCAATTGGCTTACTATTGAGGCTCTTAACGCCGCGATCGTTGAGGACGAGCCGAAGATGAAGACCATGGCTGAGCAGTGCATCATCATTCAATATCTCATTGAGCTCTCGAAGTCTCTCAACGCCGTCCCCACCAATACTTCGATTCAAAAGCAGTTCTTCAAGAAGTTCGAGGCTGCTGATCCATCGTACATGAAGCATTATCATGATGAAGTGAAAGCGTTCGAGGATCGTTTGAGAACTCGCGCTCAAACGAAACGAGAAGCTGCGATGGAAGAGGTGGAGAATGAGGAGCGTGCAAAAAGAATTGAAGCGTCGCCAGGGGGTCTCGATCCTCAAGAGGTGTTTGAGGAGCTTCCAGAAGAGATGAGAAAGTGTTTCGAGAGTCATGACATTGAAGCGCTCAAGGGATTGGCTCAGGTTATGGATGAAGAGGTAATTGTTTGCGTTAGTCGGTGTTTTCCATAACTTCTTTCCAGGTTTTCAAGTTCCACTTCGATCGATGCATTGCCTCTGGCCTCTGGGTGCCCGGAAAAGCCGACGAAGAGGAAGAGGAGGAAGAAGCTGTCGCCTCTACATCGAACGATAGTGCAGCCAACTGAAAATCCTCGTCCTAGGACCAATCCAACACGCTGAAAAACAATGATCTATACTTGTCGTCAACCTTTTTTTTTTGAGGGAGGATGGTTTCTCCTTCCGTTCCACCCCACATATTTAGCATTCTTCTCACCCGTCAAATACATTTATCATAATTCATTTCCCCAGCCCTCCCTCTTTATTTGATTGCTTCCTTGTAAATTGATTTTTTTCGCCTATTTTTTTGTAAATGGTCTCCCTCAAATCTCTCCCCCATTCACTCTCAGAACATTCTATTCTATTCCACATAAATCTCTTCTGCACTTTCTATTGTTCAGTGCAGAAAAAGCAACTTTTGATCTTTAACTGGGGTATAAAACTGGAAAAAAACCAAAAAAGAAAGACTGCAACAAAAAATGCGACATTTTCTTAATCTAGTTTTTCTAGCTTGTCTCTCAATTTCAGTGTCGTCTGAATTGAGTGCCTATGCAAGTAGGTGTAGTTCGTAGTTTGACTTTGTAGTTTGTAGTTTGAAACTGTAGACTGGAAACCGAGAGGGCTTCGTTACTGCGAAACAGTCCGTCATCCGACAAATCCGTTGTTTGGAGGCGTGGCGTGTGGGCTGTCCGGGTATTTTGTGATGAATTCTTGTAAGTTTCGAGAATTTTTGATGCTGAGGCAAATTTTGAAAATCTGCGTTTTCTGGTCTTCAAAATGAGCCTAAACATGACCTAACTGGGATTGTTTTGAGATACCGTAAGCTCTAATAGAAGGCTTCCGGAGCCGCCTACTTTGTGCTCATATATCTCGGTTCATGTAGAAGATATCAAAAAAATTTCAACAGATAAATTGTGTTTGATATTATGATAAACACTTTATCAGTTTACCATTGTTTGATATCTTTCGCAGGAAATGAGATATATGAGATTAAAGTTGATGGTCTGGGTGAGTTTATAATAGACGCCCACAAAAACCGTCCACTTTGAGTTCATGTTATTATCTCAGCTACTGTAAAAGATATCAAAAAAGTGTCAACTGATAAAACATAGCGGATATTATTATAAATCATCATTAGATCAATTTTCGATATCTTTCACAGGAAATTAGATATGTGGGTTCAAAGTTGATGGTCTGGGTTACCTTCTATAGACGCCCACGAAAATCGTCAACGCTGAGCTCATATATCTCGGTTCCCATTAGAGATAACAAAAAGTTGCCAACTGATAAAATGTAGCTAATATTATGATAAACATTTCATCAGTTGACCACTTTTTGATATCTTCCACAGGAAATGAGATATACGAGCTCAAAGTTGAGAGTTCGGAGGGGCTACGGTACATCTATTGAAAAATGAGGATTTTCAGCTTTTTCAAATGTATAAACTTTTTTAGTGTACGAAGTGGAAATCACCTCATCTATCTCGTTGGGACTTATTAATACTGGTATTATTACAACGTATGAAATCTTTCAAAAATTAGTTTTTCGATATTTTTTCAATTCCAGCGACGCTCTATCAACTGAAAGCGGGTTCTGGAAGACTTGCAAGCCATATTTGGTTCGATTGTTTGATGGGCTCTGGTCGGATGTTAGTGAGTTCTTGAGTTTTCGAAAACTACTACAGTAATCCGAATCTTCAATTCCAGCCAAGTCGTGCACCTTCATGGTGGACCCTCTTCCAGATTTTCCAGTCTGTGCACAGGTCCCAAACGAGTCGTTTTTGTACCGAAGTGGCAGTGGTTACTGTATGAAGGAGAAAGTTTGTGGAGGAAAAGTGACCATTGAATTTTTGAAGAGCCCTGATAACAGTTGTGAGTCTCCCAAGTCATTAACTTTGACCCAATTTATCTCATTTCCTGTGGAAAATATGAAAAAGTAGTCAACTAACAAAATGTTTACCATAATATCAGTAATATTTTATTGGTGTACATATTTTTTGATATCTTTTACAGGAACCGAGATAAATTGGATCAAAGTTTAAAGTTAGAGGGAGGGTGTTGGTCATTAGTTAGGAGGCCTACACTATCACCTTTGACCCAATTTATCCAAGTTTCTGTGAAAAATATCAAAAAGTAGGCAATGAATAAAATGTTCATCATATTATCATGAACATTTTATCAGTTGACAACTTTTTGATATCTTTCACAGGAAGTGAGATATACGCGCTCAAAGTTGACTGTTTGGAAGACATTCTATGTACTAGGGGGTTTATTGAGATTACGGTTATATTTACGATAGAAAGTTTACTAAATTTAATTATGTTTACTTATGATAATGATAAAACTATGAACCTTATTATTTTCGAAAAAATTCCAGCTCTTGTCTACTCCTGGACCACAGCTGATACCAGAGCTCTCACCGAAGTGGGCTACATCAAAGTTGGCAATTGCTATGGTTACTCGAAAGTTCTGAATCCCAACAAGGACTATACAACAATGATGGAGGAGGATGAGAAGAATGCACAGTGAATCATTTTCAGTTTTTATTTAAAAAACTCTTCTCACTTCTTGTTATTAAAATTATCTATTGAAGGGGGGCTCCGACCAGAAATTTTCATTGCATTAAAGTGTGTTAAAATTTATCTATTTTTCAAATGAAATGAGGGCTAAATCGTCTGAAACCAATTTTGGGCAATATTAAACACAATGTGTCAATCTCTGTGAATTTTTGTCATCACACATCTTACACAAAATATCATTTTTCTTGTATATTTTCTCATGTTTCAATAGTCTGGCCTAAATATGGTTTTTTAAACTATCATGGGTTTCCTGTTATTCTTATTGTTGGAGCTGATCTTTTTTGACGAAAAAAGCAAACATTCAAAGTATTCAGTTTGCTATAAAAAGCTGAAAATGATACAGAACAGTCAACTATTGAAAAAAATATGTTACTTTCTATCCTTCTAGCTTCTCCGTTTTTTGTCAGCCCTGTGGCGTCCCAGCTGAGTGCCTATACGAGTAAGTGTCAACTTCAAACCCATATATCTCGTTTTCTGTAACAGATATCAAAATTTTGTCAACTGATAAAATACTTATCATTATATCAACTATACTTTATCAGTTGGCCATTTTTTGTATCTCTTACATGAGCCGGTATGGGCTCAAAGATACGGCAACAAAAAACCGATTCTTCCAGGCTGGACCCCCGAGTATACCAGATATTGTGAGCAGATTCAATCCACGAATCCAGCGACTCCCCTGTCTGGAGGTGTCGCGTGTGGCTACACGGCATGGAATGTCATGAGTAATTGTGAGTGAAACTACCGTAACCGCTATAATAGAAGGGCTCACACACTCTCAAGTTTGAGGTTAACTATCTCAATTTCTATGAGAGATATCAAAAACTCGTCAACTGGCAAAAAATTGCAGTATTTTACAAGGTGACACCTTTCTGTTACCTCTTATAGAAACTGAGATAGTTAAACTCAAAGTTTAAGTGTTGGGGCTCTCTCTCTCTCTCTCTCTCTCTCTCTCTCGGAAAATTATACTTTTTCACAGTGTATCCTCTCAAAATCGCCTCGACTTCCACATTGAGTCTTATCAATGTTGGATGGATAACTACGTAAGTACCTAGATTTTCAGGTTTTTTGAAAATTAAAAAATTTCAGTGAAGCGTTATCGAGTCAAAAGGGGTTCTGGAAGACGTGCAAGCCGTACATGGTTCGATTGTTCGATGGACTTTGGAGTGATCTTTGTGAGTTTCTAAAGCATGACCTAAAAAATCTGGGTCATAACCTAACAAATCTAGCTCATGACCTAAAAATGAAATCTAGGTCATGACTTAAAAATTTGAATCTAGGTCATGACTTAAAAATTTGAATCTAGGTCATGGTCTAAAAAATACAATCTAGATCATAACTTAAAATTTGAAATCTAGGTCAAAACCTGAATTTTCAGCAAAAGCCTGCACACTCCTGGTTAACCAACCGAGTGGTTTCCCGAACTGCACACAAGACTACACTGGAAGTTTCCTCTATCGCAGTGGCAGTGGTTATTGTATGAATTCGAAAGTTTGTGGAGCGAACACAGAAATTGAGTTCTATAAAAATGCTGATGGATCTTGTAATTTTCGTCTTCCAGTAGCTTTTCTAGACTGGGTTTTCAGCGCTTCTCTACTCCTGGGAGCCAGCTGACGCCGCCCGTTTTACGACTCTCGGGTATACCAAAGTTGGTAGCTGTTATGGATATGGGAAGTTGGCCAATCCGGGAAGTACAACAACGAATCTGGAGAATGAGCCACCATTTTTTTGAATCAAAAATCTTTTTGATGTTTTTAATGAAATTTTAAATAAAATCTTATTTTGTTTAACCAGATGTTAGTCTTCGGAACATTTCCAGCTCAATTATCCCGGTTCCTGTAAAAGATAGCGGAAATTTGTAAACTGAAAAATTATTTGTGACATTATGATAAATAATTTATGAGTTGACCACTTTCCGATATCTGTTACAGAAATGAGATATAAGGGCTCAAAGATGATGGTCTGGGTAAGCTTCTAATAGACGCCCACAAAAACCGTCAACTCTGAGCTCATGTTATCTCGATTCCTGTGAAAGATATAAAAAATGTGTCAACTGATAAAATATTGGTGATATTATGATAAGCAATTTACCAGTTGACCACTTTCCGATATCTTTTACGGGAAACGAGATATACAGGCTCAAAGTTGACGATTTGGGGGTGGGGGGCATTCAGTTTGGAGATTCAAATTTTGCAAAAAACTGTAACAACAATAATTTTTTTAATTTTAGAAAAGCTCTGGAACAATTTGATTGAATTTGATAAAAATCGTACAACCAGTGCCTCCAGTATTGACCAAAAAACGCTTTCTTGATTCTATTTCTGTATATTTATTCTCAAATTATATATATATATATATATTATAGTTGTCCACCAAATTTTGGCTTCTTTCCAGAAGCTATTCTTTCCCAAATAAACTATACATTTTCCTCTCTGCCTATAAATATTCTTTCGAAAAACCCCAAATACTCAAATTTTCCAAAAAATGATCCACCTTTTATTCCTAGCCTCTTCCCTATTCGTTCTTCAAGTCTCCACACAGCTGAGCGCCTATGAAAGTGAGTTTGTAGCTTTTGTAGTCGCACTACAAACCAGTGATGGGAGGAAAAACGAATTTTTTTTTTGGCGGAAACCGGAAACGGAAAAAAACGAGTAAAAAGTTTTTACAGAAAACGGAATATTTTATTTTTCTGAAAGAAACGGGAACGGAAAAAATTTTCAAAAATCGGGCGGAAAACGGAAAACTGAAACGGAAACGGAAATTTCCCATTTTTCGTCTGTTTTTTCAAGGTTTTTTCCATCCAACATGATAATGAACACTTTTTAATGTTTAAAGGTGGAGGGACACGAAAAAAATAATGTTCTCGAAAATCCGTTTGAATATGTCCCTTGGGGAGTTGAACTTATGACAGGCAGATCAGGGGTACAGCACCGCTACCGACTGAGCTACGCGGGCAAAAGTGAAGTGGGCGCCCGATTGTAAACATAATGGTGAGGACGACAGCTGTACGCAGAGTGACATTAAGCGTTGTACACCGTCACGGTAGAATGCATAATCTGGCCCCAAAAATCCCCCGCAAAATCTCCTGTCCCCCCATCTTTAAAGACCATATCTGCATCACTTTCCATGTTTTTTTCGAGCCAGTTTCCATTCAATGTTTTTGTCGGTTTTTACATTTTTTTTTCCATTTCCGCTGAAAAAAATGGCGATTTTTCCGGAAAACGGAAACGGAATCGAAAAATTTTTTTCCACAAAAAAACGGGCGGAAAACGGAAACGGAAATTCCTCCCATCACCGCTACAAACTACAAAAAAAACGAATTTCAGCATGGACAACTGACTACATTCGATACTGCGAGATGATCCAATCCACCAACGCCGCGACACCTCTGTATAGAGGTGTGGCTTGTGGAAGGGACGCTTGGAATGTGATGAGTACTTGTGAGTCCTTTTCTGGAAGTTTCTAGAAATCATTCTGAAGATTATTTTCAGTTTTTCCCCTCCGAATCACTTCGACGATGACATTGGGTCTCATCAATGTGGCGTATATTACGACGTAAGGAACCCGCGTCCTGTTGGGAAGCCATAAGGCAGATAGCCGTCCAACAAAAAGTTGCCAACGGATAAAATGTCTATGTTAATATAAGCAATATTTTATCAGTGGACAATTCTTTGCTATCTCTAATGGGAATCGAGATAACATGAGCTCAAAGTGGACGGTTTTTGTGGGCGCCTATCAGAAGCTCACTCAGACCATCAACTTTGAGCCCTTATATCTCATTTCCTTAACAGATATCAGGAAGTGGTCAACTGATAAAATGTTCATCATAATGTCAGCTATATTTTATCAGTTGATAGATTTTTGGTGTCTCTTGCAACAAGCGAGATAATATGAACTCAAAGTTGGAAGCTGAAAGGCGGAGCCATTCTATTAGAGCAAATACAGTAATTCAGGGATTTCCAGGACCGCTCTGACAGATCAATCCGGGTTTTGGAACACTTGCAAACCGTATATGGTTCGATTGTTCGACGGACTTTGGAGTGACGTTAGTGAGTTTCTAGGCCACCAAGATTCGGGTTTCTAGGCCATTTAGAATAGGGCCTCTAGACCACCAAAATAGGGTTCCTAGGCCTCCAAAAATGGATTTCTAGGCCATTAAAAATCGGGGTTCCAGGCCACCAAGTTTAGGGTTTCTAGGCCATCAAAAACCGAGAATTTTTCCAGCCAAAGCCTGTACACTTCTCGTCAACCCTCCCTGGGGATTCCCAAACTGCACGCAGGACTACGACGGCGCGTTTGTGTACCGCAGTGGCAGCGGCTACTGTATGAAGTCTAAAGTTTGTGGAGCCACGGTGGAAATTGATTTTCTCAAGAGCGCTGATAATTCTTGTGAGTTTAGTCGACTGAATTTGCGCGTCAACATGCCAGAGAGTGTTTGCGTACGCAGCATTGTATTTGACGACATACTTTTCAAAAAGTGCGTCGTAAAATAAAAATTTGCCTACGCAAACACAATAAATCAATTGAAAAAGTCAAAACATCAAAAATAAGTTTTTGAAAAAATCTTCCAGCTATTATCTACACCTGGACCACAACCGAATCTGAAGCGCTGATTGCTCAGGGCTACACAAAAGTTGGCAATTGCTATGGCTACAGTCTTCTACCAAACCCCGCAGCTTCTAATGCAAATCTTATGAACGAGTTGTCGTTTCCCTAATAAAAATTGAAAAATTAAGTTAAAATTCATTATATTCAACAAGAGAAACACATCATCTGAGATCAAAGAAATCTGCGATTCACATTCACACCACCACCACCAATCGGAATATTATGACGACTTCGGATCGTTCCCTCGCTCTTTACAATGTGCTGATTGAGTTTCGCCGCTTCTTGTATCGCCAAACTTTGCGCGTTCATTCGATTCCCGTTCTCCACTGTCTGCTTGCATCGATTGCTCATTTCGGCGAGTTCCGCGAGCAACCACGTGGCTTTCTTGTTGGATTCGGTGACGAACTCCTGGAGGATGTGGATGGTTCCGTAGATCATGGAGTATGAGGAGGCGGGGTCTCGGAAGATTCGATGAGCGAAATCGAAGAGGCGGCGGGCCGTGAATCCACCGTCGCGTTTGTCAACATGGTCTCTGAAAAAAATGGGAATGCTTGTGACGGGAGCTTTCTATGACCTAGAAAACCTAGTAACGATTTTCTAGGCCACCAAGTTTTGGTTTTCTAGTCCACCAAAAATGGGGTTTCTAGGCCACCAAAAATGGGATTTCTAGGCCACCAAAAGTGGGGTTTTTAGGCCTTTAAAAACAGGTTTTTTTTTAAGTCACAAAAATAGGTTTTCTAGACTAACAAAAATATAGTTTCTAGCCCATCCAAAATAAAGTTTCTAGGCCACCAAAAATGGGGTTTCTAGGTCACCAAAGATATAGTTTCTAGGCCATCCAAAATAGGGGGTCTAGGCCACAGCAAACAGGCTTTCTAGCCCACCAAAAAGAGGTTTCTAGGTCACCATATAAGATTTTCTGGACCACAAAAAATGGGGCTTCTAGGCCACCAAAAATCGGGGTTTTAGGCTACCAGAAACAGAGTTTCTAGGTCATTGAAAATAGGTTTTCGAGGCCATCAAATTTCGGATTTTCAGCGCAAACTACCTACCTAACCAATCCAACCAACGTTTTGGCTGAAAAATCTCTCAACGCCCAATGGTTATCAGTCTCGGGTCGCAAACACATATTCCGGCATACACAGCAACTGAGAAGCGATGGGAGGACGTGGTGGAGCTGAAAATTTGCCCATTTTCAGTGAAAAACCCTCCAGAAAGCTGAATTTCAGAACTTTTGGAATTTTTGCCTAGTCTTTTTTTCAAACTTCTGATATTCCGCATACCTACCGTAACACTCATATCACAGGCTTTGTTATGGGACAGAGATCGAAGGACACGTCCGGCGTAGATGATAAGTGATAGGCATCGTTGGGAGATGTTGCATGAGATCGATTTGCAGATTCGTTCGGTGAGATGTGGAAGGAATACCTGGAAAGTGGGAATCGTGATAACTATGGGGATTTTTGACCTGGAAATCTTTATTATCGTATTTTCTCTAATAGAAGCTCTTCCACAGATCCAACTTTGAGCTCAATTATCTGGCTTTCTATAAGAGATATCGAAAATCTGTCAACTGATTAAATATAGATTATATCATGATAAACATTTTATCAGTTGACCACTTTCCGATATATGTTACGGGAAATGAGATATAAGGGCTCAAAGTTGATGGTCTGAGTGAGCTTCTGATAGTCGCCCACAAAAACCGTCCACTTTGAGCTCATGTTATCTCGGTTCCCATTAGAGATAGCGAAAAACTGTCAACTGATAAAATATTGCTTATATTATCATAAACACTTTGTTAGCAGACAACCTTTTCATATCTTTTACAGGAATTGAGATAATCGAGCTCAAAAGATGCTATTTCGACTAGATAAGATCTGTTTTTGGACTCCAAAAACGCTAGTTTATTACCTGCAACCCCGCATCCGTCTCCAACGTATACAACGCTTCATGCCTCTTCTTATCATCCTGCCCCATGCAAACCGTGATAATATCCTTCATAAATATTTGCTGCTCAACGGTGAGGATCTCCAGTGTCGGATGCTTCAGACCCACTTTCTGGTCGCTTTTCGCACATTTTACCGTCTCTCGAAACATTGAAAGACACGATGACGTTGAGGTTGGCGGAAGGACTTTTTCCTGAATCGGCGCCATCACTGCCGGCCCATTTTTCTCGTAGTAGTTGCCGTCCTCGTCGTCGACGTTCGGTGTGAATTCGGATTGCACGGGTTGCCCTTCATTCACTAGTTCGTAGGCTGAAAATAGGGGTTTCTAGGCCATAAAAATAAGGTTTTCTAGGCCATCAAAAATCGGGTTTCTAGGCCACTAAAAAAGAAATTCTAGGCAACCCAAAATTGCGTTCCTAGGTCATTAAATATAGAATTTCTAGGCCACCGAAATGTTGGTTTTTAGGCTATAAAAATAGGGGTTTCTAGGCCACCTAAAATAGGGTTTCTAGTCCACTAAAAACAAAAAGTCTAGGACACTAAAAATGTATTTCCAGGCCATTGAAGGTAGGGGTTTCTAGGCCATCAAAAACGTGCTTTCTAGGCTATTCAAAACAGGGTTTCTAGGCCACCAAAAAACAGGGTTTCTAGGCCACCAAAAACAGGCTTTCTAGGTCATTGAAAACAGGGTTTTTAGGCCACTAAAAATATGAGTTTCTAGACCACCAAAAATAGGGTTTATGGCTCCGGGACGTTTCAGAGCCCGACGTTTCGGAACCACGACGTTTCAGAACTGGACAGTTCAGAACCGGATGTTTCAGAACTTTTCTCTGAACGTCGGGTTCTGAAACGTCCCGGAGCCATAAACCCTATTTTTGGTTGTCTAGAACCTCTGTTTGAAATGGCTTTGAAACTCCCATTTTAATGGCCTTGAAACTCCCATTTTCGGTGGCCTAGAAACCCTGTTTTGAATGGCCTAGAAAGCATGTTTTCGATGGCCTAGAAACCTCTCATTTAATGGCTTGGAAATCCATTTTTGGCGGCCTAGAATTTCAGTTTTTAGTGGCCTAGAAACCCTATTTTAGGTGGCCTAGAAACCCCTATTTTTATAGCCTAAAAACCAACATTCGGTGGCTTAGAAATTCTATATTTCGCCATCGGAAATAGATCACCGATTTTTTGTTTTGCTTCAAAATCATATTTCTCCCTTACAAATAACTCTAAGCTCCCTTGGAATCTGTACAAACGTCTCGATATCATCCTTCTCAACATCCACATCCATCTTCTGGAATGTCCATATTCCTGACGTTCCAGATGTCCCCTGAACTTGTGTCATTTGATTAATGCCCATATTTAAAGTGTCCACAGTCGCGATTTTCAGTGATCCCATGTTTTGTTGATACTTGAGCACATTCTCCACGTCCTGTACTGTCATTTTATGGCGAGAACAGTGACGGGACCATTTGGCGGCGAGTTGAATCGTGGTTTTGAGGAATTCGCGGGCCTGGAATTTGGAAATTGGAGTTTTCTAGCTCATTATTAAAAAATTGATTTTTCCAGAAACTTCCAGAAGGCAAAATTCAAAACTTCGAGAAATTAGCGATTTTTTCTTCCATTTCTCGCAAAATTTTTAGACCTTTTAAGGTTTTTTTCAGCTATTTTTGAAGACTTTTTTTCGATTTTTCCGAATTTTTTGTCTGAAATTAGATGTTGAAGAAAATTACTGTAGATTACTGTAGAATCTAATTTCTTTTTTGAAGTTTTTTCATTGCAAACAAACAAAATGACGCCAAAATGCGGACAAGTTGTTTTTAACTACTACAGTAATCTACAGTAGTCTTCGCGAACACCGAATTTCATCTCGAAGTGGTGGCCTAACTTGTGCAAGTTTGATTTTCTAGGCCACCACGTTAAAATGGCCTAGAAATGCATGACTTGCATTTTGTGTGTCTGCATTGGAACTTGCCGAAGAGGCTTTTGAAGCGGCGTGCTGTAAGAAAACTCTGAAATTAAATGGAAAAATAAACCAAAATTTCAGATTCCAGCTCATCAGGTGTCGTGATATCGCACAAGAATGGGACTGGAGAGGTTTTAGCGGCAGAATCCTTTGAAGTGACTTTTCTAAATTCTGAAAAGGCGAAAAATCTATTTTTTTTTAGGACTCTGGCCTCCATTTCATCTTTTCCCAGTCCACCAACATTCAATACCCAACAAATTTCGATGATATTGCCGTGGGATCAGTGGTACAAGTCTATTGGACCCGAAGCTTTG